AAATCTTAAATCCTGATCTGTGGAATAGAAGGAGCTTACTAATACCATGCCATGTTTGCATCCATCTTAAATGTTAAAGCTTGTAAATTGGCAAGAAGCAGGGCACATTCAAGAAAGGCCTATGATTATTCTAGCAGGTGTAAAGCAATGACCTACTAAGGGCCCGAGGCTAGAGCTGAATTGTACACCAGAAAATAAGTAGAGTTAAATCATTGAATAAAACTGACTGCAGACTGGTGTGAGTGGTGAACAATCAGGAAGCCAGAGACTAACACATTACTTTCCTGTAAATTCTACAGAACTCTCCAGCTCTAAACAGCCATCAAGCTGACCAGAAAGTCATCTGGCTTTAATTACCTCAACTACACACAGATCTACTCTTTTAAGCAACAAAATGTCATTCACCATAGGTGGTCTAGCCCACCATGCTTGCTAGAGCAACATTTATGATTTTTTAAAATTAAACAATTTAGGCCAATTAGAACAGATGAAATGCGGACATTTGAGCATCTCATGTCTGGTTCTGTGCATGTGGCATTCACAGGTAGAACTGGCCACATGCAAGCTACCAGTAATTCTATCCCATCCAAGGACAGTGGATTAATGGGCAGACACCAGATAAAACAAACTGTAGCCACAGGATGTAGGACTACTTTATTATGACATTAGTAGGACCCTGCAGCCACAGAAGAAGCATCTTGAGAAGCAGAAAGACCCAGTTGCTAATCAAACAATGTAGTAGCCAGATCTCAGTAGCCATTACAAACGTTGGAAATGAATGTTTCACCATGCTCACTGTCCATGAAGTGGAGGCATCTGTGATGGAGTGGACTCCTCACACTAGCCCTGCAAGAGCTGAATTAGGGCAGGTGGGCCCAATCAGCTAATTAGGCTCCAAGCAGGGGAGATTTAGGCTGGAGGTAGCTAATTAAGGACAGGCTCACCTGTGCAGGAACAGGCAGGACCTGTATAAAGTCCAGTAGCTGGGTGCAGAAAGAGGGGCTGCTGCTGGAAAAGGCTGCAGTTGCTCCCTGAGTGGAGTTAGAGGCTGGATATGCAGGAAGAAGCCCAGGGAAACAACAGCAAGAGGTAGACCTGCCTAGGGATTATGGTAGCTTGTTATACAGTCCCTAGGATGGAACCCAGGGTGGAGGTGGGTTCCTTTACCAGCCTTTGGGGAGTAGCAAGGGTGTTAGAGGTGCCAGCCAGCCACCAGCTCTGGAAAGACCATGAAATCCCTGGAAGGGGAGGACTTTAGTGGCATGGCCGGAGGGCCAAGCCACAGAGGAAGCTGCAGACTTGAGAGTGAGTGGAGCAGCAGAGTGAGACAAGATGGGAGCAGACAACGCTTATTGATAGCAATACTGTGGGGGGAGGAGGGTGAGAACTGGGCTGGAGTAAAGAAAATATGGATGGAGAAGTGTGCCCCCCCGCAAAAACAGAGAAATAAGGATGAAACGTATCAACAAGAGGAAAAGACTTCAAACACCAAAGATTTAGTTGCGTGAGGTGTCAAGAGATCTAAATCTATGTCATCTGTGAAGGTGTTACATGCTTCTGACTGAGGAAGGTGTACATGGTCTTAGCAGCAGTTGGGCATTCAGCAAGAAGGAAAAACTGTACTAGGAGATTAAAGCAATCCATAGATAGGTATTCTGGACCATAACCAAAAGGGGGAAGTTTCTGGGGTGGGGGAACCCCTGTTGAGGCAGCTTCGAGGGTACCCTGTCCCTGGTTACCAGCTGTTGGGAGACTGAGGGTTCTACAAAAAGGATGTTGAGATACCTCCCTTCCTCAATGGACATAAGCAAGTAACAATGCTAGGATTTGGTAAATGGCCTCATGCTGAAGACTGACCACATGGCCAGCTATTAAATTGGAAATATCTATCCTCTAAGGAGAACTGCAGAGAGCACTAGGAACTGGAGGAATATGAACATGCAAATATGTGCCCTAAGTTCTATTGAGCAGAGAGTCACCCAAGAAGGACAGGAAATCTGGCCTGATTATTTCCACCTGGAACCTCCATTGTGAATATGCATGTTTGGAATTTTCACGTATGAAGAGTAATCAACAGTAAAATGCCCCTATATGCTCCTTGAAAGGAACAAATTGCTCTCTTGCAAAGCAGGTTCTAGAGTGCCATCACTTTTCAGTACCTCCGCTTCTTGCTTTTTTAAATGGAGACAAGACTTCCATAGTTCATAGCTGAAAAGGCCAGGTCATTAATATTAAAATTCTGAGGGCTACAAATCATTATGAAAGCACAAAATGTTGTATGGACCTCACAGCAAATAGGCACTGCTGTGAACAGTGACTTGTCTAATACAGTTGCTCACTCACTATGTATTCATAAAAAGAAAAGGAGTACTTGTGGCACCTTAGAGACTAACACTTATTTGAGCATAAACTTTCGTGAGCTACAGCTCACTTCATCAAATGCATAAATTCTATGATTTTTAGGTTATTTTTATTTCTCACATGAAGCTCCTGGCAAGTCAGGATTTCCTGTTACAGTAGAACCTCTTATGAGCACCTTGGGAATGGAGGTTGTTCGTAACTTCAAAATGTTCTGACCAAAACATTAGTTTTTTTTTTTTCAAAAGTTTACAACTGAATATTGACTTAATACAGCTTTGAAACTTTACTATGCAGAAGAAAAATGCTGCTTTTAACAATCTTAAGTGAAACAAGCACAGAAACTTTCCCTAGTAGTTTACTTTTAACACAATACTGTGCTGTATTTGTGTTTTGGTTTCTTTGTCTCTGCTGCTGCCTGATTGTGTACTTCCAGTTCCAAATGAGGGCTGTGGTTGACCAGTCGGTTTGTAATTCTGAGGTTCTACTGTATTTCAGTTCTGGCTTCAGCTACTAGATGCTGCTGTTGGAAATCTGAGCTGCAGGCCTTGGGGAAGCAACAGCTGCTGGGGACATGTGGAGCCAGCTTAGAACAGAAGGTGAGGTAATTCCTACCTGCTCTTCTCTCCCTCTGCTTTGTGCAGTACTAGGGAAAGTTAGCAGTGAGAGGGTTGCAGGGTGGGGAAGAAGGTATGTCCCAAGCAGGTGTGTTAGTGTTCCTCTCCTTTCTGAGCCAGAGGGAACTGGCTCCAGCCCAGCTGTATTTTCCTTCCACTGCCCATACTGCTGGCCTTCAGTGTAGCAGAAGGGGCCAGTATATTAGGGAGCAGTTGTGTAGGTAGGAGTGGCACTGGGGATGAGATAATGCCCATTAGAGGGAAGGGGTTGGGTAATGCGGCAGGAGCAGTCTCCCCTTGGCAGGGGGAAGAGGGGAGAGAGAGAACATGAACACACAGGGCAGAGGGCAATTTCCAGTGGGATCTGCTAAGTCTGCAATGGAGGTAAATGAGTTGGTGTGGAGAACACAAAGGGGCCTTGGGCCCCTCTATCAGAAGTAAAAAGGAGGTTGATTTTTTCCCCACCCTGGTTAGTTTAATTAACTAAACCTGAATTAATTAGTTCAGATTAAACCTAAATATATTTTAAATACCAAAATGTTAACACACACTTTCTCAGACTGTAGTTTATCTTCAAAGGAACTATTAATGTAATAATAAGCACTACTTATGGTAAAATTAAAGGAATAAATTCTCAGCAGGTTTTTTGATAGTAAGAATTCATGTAGCACTTGCATTCAACTATTATTGTGTTTGAAAAAGGGGTGTTACAACATAAGGGCAGACACCTTATTAATAAAGGTTTGTATGTGCTTGAGCACTGTTTCAAATTACCAAGCCTATAAAAGTAAACTGTACCCCCCCCCCTTGTTTTTGGTCCTACAAATCAGCATTTTTGCAGGAACATTCTCAAATGTGCCAGGGTGCTACTAAAATTAGATGTGCACATTTCAGAACAAAGTGATTATAAGATGTTGCCCTTTCAGTGTTCCCACACTAAGCAATAAGGAACTAGAGCCTTCCTGGTTTATGCTGCTGAATTTCCAGCTACTTATGATAGCCAGAATGTGCCAATTCCTAACTAATTTAAGGATCTATGAAACCACATTGACTTGGAAACCTAGGTGAATATATACATATATATCTTTTCCTTCTCATTTTATAATGAGGTAAGTGGTTAACATCTTATTTAAAAAAATTGTCTACAAGGAGAGCAACACTACTCAATTCACAGTTGCAGATTGCCAAACTAAAGTTACAGAAGCCAGCCAGGAGGTGATAAATTACTAATGCAAAATGAAGACACCCACTGCAAATTGTAAAGGAACAAATTTAATATTTAGCCCAAAAAGAAGAATATAGAAATAGTCTCTAAACAAAGACCAGCACTAGACTAATGTCACAGCTCTTATTTCTGCCTTACATCCATATAGTATGTAGCTACAGAACATTTGGGCAACTGTTGGATTAAATTGGCCTTGTTAGAAGTATCTGGTAATGTGAATGACAAACAACTGAAGGTCTTTCTACCATAATTTGTGCAGTTTGATAAATACGCACATGTCGTTAACTGACTTGCCTACTGCAAAATATTTAATGTTGACAATTCTCTTACACAGTATGATAGTAAGTAAAGCAGGCATCTTAAATTAATACTTTTAGAATTTATAAAACGCTCCTTGAGTTTAGAATGTTAACTGGAGGAACTTTAATCCACAGGCAGATTGACCCTTTTATTTTATAGTGACTGAAGAATGACAGTGGAGTTTAATGCTGCAAGAAAGATTCCTTGTTCTTTGCTGCCTATGGCCACTCCAATATAATCAAACTTCAGCAGCTGCAAAGAGTGTGTAAAATACTGTTCTGGTTTGTAAGGTACATGCTTCAATAGGGAAAATCAAAACTATAACACCTGCCATATTTAACAAGCAAATAATTAAAAGTACTGCATAAACAATGTAGACTGAAGACAACATCTGATGGGTTATGTAACAGGTTAGCTAAGCACATTATATTAAACTTTTTAAATGGTCAGTTTGGTCAAGATTAAAATTTCAACCAAGAAAGACAGTAGTAAAACCAAAATCTGGTGTAAGAGGATTTAATTTGTTTTAACAGTTTCTTGGGTAATAAAATCCAGAAAACTACATGCATCCACATTTAACATTGTCTAATTATCAAGCTACAAGAATGATCTTCCAGATGCTTTAATAACAATGCTATTACAATCTTGAGCAGAATTAGTCCTTTCTGAAACAAATCCTCCTCCTAATATCAAAGCTAAATTGTTCAGGGGGAATTTTGTGAGTATTTATATAATAATGCATACACATACATATAGCCCAGAAATCTACAAGGAACAAACAGGCACAGTGACCTATCCCCTCTCTGGCAGGGCTCAGGCACTTTAACATGGCAACATAGGAGTGGGAAAGCTTGCACCCCAATTATCTGTGCTGCATCAGTTGTGGACAGCGATTTTCAGTCTTCAATGTTAAGTTAAAACCTGGCAGAAGCAATACATTCACACTAAAAATAAAAGTTTAGTCTTTTAAAAAGAAAACACTGATATAACTGCTGTTTAACATTTTCTGAAATTGATGCAACTATGTATAGTTATGTGGTTTGCAGCATCCTCAAGTGTAAAAAACCAAGTTCTAACAAATGAAAGTGTAACATTCTGAACTGTTATGATTTCTACCAGAAAGCTTATAATGAACTGGGCAACCGTTTACAAGTGGAAGAGACTGGCAAAGAAAGTAAAGTAGCCTTTCAGGAGAAGCTGAAGAAAATGTAAATTCTTGAAAATTGAAGAAAAAAGAATTTACCTAAATCTAACCTGGATGACAGATATGTAATTTCTTATTCTTTTATCTACCACCCCCTCTAATGACAGCAATCAATTATCAGGAAGTGCCTGAAGTATGATTATTTATTACTACTTAAACATATTCCATCTGCTGAATTTTGTTTTAAACATTTAAAAGCCAATATGGTTAATCAGAAGTTTCATATTTACAAGTTGAGACCTTTAATTTTTAAATTTCTTTTGCAATTAGAAAAATCAAAGCCAAGCAAGTTTTATATGATAGTTGATAGTTTTCTTAATTTGTCTGGACTTCTCAGCTTTGCATCTTGGCTCCATAATTTGAACAAGCATTGACCACGATACTCCACAGAGACCATAGGCATTTATTCTTGATGTCTCTTCTCCCTCAAGTTAATATAGTAGTTTATGCACCTGTATTTTTATCAAAATTTATGCTTACAAATATCACTCCCAATATCTTAAGGTTTGACAGATATTAAATGGGCTGAACCGTGTCAATAAAACCAACTTTTATTTTGAACTTAGAACCTAACCTTTCTTGACTCATCATTACCTTTAATAATTCCTTTGCAAGCCAAGAAATAAGCCTCAAAACTGTCCCGTGTTTTCAGTGTAAAATAAAGGCCCATGGTTATTTACAACTAAAAATGCTTAACAGCCACTTCAGTTGCACCATGACCTCTCTTGTTTTTAAATAATGCTTCCACTGGCTTTAAAGATGGTATTTACACACTTTTAAAATATGGAACTTTTAAGTATGACTAGCAAGGCAGTCCTGGCTTCTCAAAATAACTGCTACTCCTAATATGATCAGCATTTAGCAGAAGTAGTAACATGCTTTAAGAATTAGACATCCATACAACCTGCACTAATAATCCAAACACTTAGTGTTGAACACAATAACAAAAACAAACAAACAGTATCTCTTCTCCTCAGTTCAAGTTTGCTGATATAATACCCTGGAGACAATGTTCACAGCCTTTACTGCCACAAAGTTTTCTACAAACAAATTCTAGACCTGAAAATTTGTCATCTGTTCTGGTTGGAAAAAGTACTATTGTGTTCGGAGCTGATAATCTGCAAGAGAAAAATAAATTCAGAAGAGTCAGTTAAATTAGTTCATCTTATTTTATTAATACAAAAGAGTAGCAATATCAGAGCAGAAATATTTATGATACACCAATGCCAAATTAAAGCAAAGATTACTCAAATAAAAAGGAGATCTGTATAAAGGACCATCTTAGAACACCACTAGCTGTTTACATGCTCATGCTCAATAACCAATTAAAGGAAATGTTACGTCATTAGAGTTAAACATTCCAGGTAATAAGAATTTCTGTTCACCAAACTGGACCTTCCCAAATGCTTAATAGATTCCAAGACTAAGCATCACCCTGCCAGTCTTTCTTTGTGTGTATTTTCTAATGTATATGCTACAGGGGTTGAATCTCCGCTTTAGGTGCAAAATACTCAACCCAAGCCTAACTATAATGTCACAACAGTGGCACTTTCCTAATAGCAGGGTGAGTGGAGAGAGGAATATATTTATGAATATAATTTGTAGCGATACTGCACATTATTAAAGAATATGAGAAGTCTAGTGGAATCATGCAGGTAAATTATCTGGGAACATCCAACAAAGAGAAAAGTGTGTTAATAGGAAAACTACATGGGCAACTTCAGCGTCTACAATCTATAGCTTTGCTATTTACCTCCATTTTGGGTGATATAGCGAACCCATGGCAAAGCCTGATAGCCACTCTTCTCAATTATCTTTAAGTAGCGGACCTGAAAAGAAAACACATTAAATTACCTTTCTAGTTCAGCCTAGCAACCCTTAATGGAAGATATATTTTAGGCAAAAAGCCTAGAACACCATTATGAACAGTTCAATGTGCAGCAGCGGTCAAAGCAGAGTGAGTAGAATGCTGGGATGTGTTTAAAAAAATATCATGCCAACATGTAAATAACTGGTAACTCACCTGGAATAACGTGCACAGTTCTGATCACCTCATCTCAAAAAGATATAGCAGAAACAGGAGGTATCAAGAGTCAGGGGGACAAAATTAAAAGAATGGAATGTTTCCATATGAGACATTGGAGACAGAATATTCAGGGGGGAGATAAAATGATGAGGGATATGAAAGAGGTATACAAAATATGAAGTGTAAAAAGCACTTTGTGCTACTTCTTAAGAGAAAGGGAGATATTAAACTCAACTAAAAAAATCTGTTGGAAATTTGTAAACAGGAAAAAGCTTTTTTTATGCAATCCATACAAAAGCTAGGTAAGATTAAGAAAAGATTAAACATGCAGAAGGATAATAAAAGCACCCAGTTACATTAGATGGATGTATTTTAAAAAATATAAATTCTCATGGTTCAGTTCATAAAGCTTCAACTGAAATTGTTGGGAAGAAACTTCCGTTTGGTATAGGTTATTCCATAATTATCCATTAGAGGATTTTTTTTCCACATTCCCTGAAGCATGTGGGACTAGCCATTATCAGAAACAATGTATTGTACTAGATGGATCATTAGACTGATCTTGCAATACAATTCCAATAGTCCTAATATGACTTTTACTGTTTTTACAAAAGAAGGCAGAAGTTTTGCACAAAAATCTTAGAATTATGATGAACAAGGATACTAAGTTCTCAATTTACACACAGTTTCTGGAGGTTCAAAATATTTAATGCACCAACAGGACAAATCCTAATCCCATGATTTAACTAAATAAATATTCCATTTTCAGAAGCTCTTGCTTGGTTTGGGGATAATAAAACCCAAAACTGAGCTCTCTCTTTCAGTTGCAGCCTCCTTCAAACATTTTTATCTATTTTGGTTTAGTAGTAGAAAAATGGAGTACACACCCTTAGTCAGGAGGAAGTTAATTGTGATTAGCTTCAAACAACTATTATAAGTTTTTTTAAAACTTGGACTGAAAAGATCATTCATATTGTCTAAACAGATTTGTACTTCTATGTAGTTGAATTTAAAGAGACAAGCCACATTCTGTATCATTATTAAACCATAATATAATCACACCATCACCTTTTGGTTCAATTACACACAAAGAGCATTATCCAGCAGCTAAATGAACAAAAATTCTATTCACAAATTAATTTTTTTAGTCTTATTAACCTGTATTCCCGAAGTGGTGAAATACGGAATTTCAAACTTGACACTGATGGGAGGTTTTCCTTCTTTATCTTCAGCTTCAACACTTGGAAGCCCAAAGTGAGCCCGCATCAGATACTCCTTTCCCCCCTATCCAAAGAGGAAGGCAAACAAATCATTCTACCAGAAAATATCCTTTAAAAACCAAAGTGCTTCTGAGTGGCAAAGGTCTCATACCTGCTCAAAACTATGAAAATGCAGTCATTTAGCCCTTTTCTAAAGGCTAAAGCTGAGCATTAAGTTACTAATTTAGAAAAAAACAGTAACATTTACTGTTCGCTTTTCCAGTTTAAAATGATCACCGTAAGTACTTGTTGCCTCAAGTGCCAACCCTACAATGAGGAGAGAGGGAAAGCAGATGGTACCAATAGTCCTACAGTACAGTAGGACTGAGCCTAGAGTGAATTTTAGTCAAATTCTAGATTCCATGTATAGAAGACTTACTTTTAATAAAACTCACACTACCTTAAAAAGAAAAGGAGCACTTGTGGCACCTTAGCGACTAACAAATTTATTTGAGCATAAGCTTTTGTGAGCTACAGTGAAATGAGCTGTAGCTCAGGAAAGCTTATGCTCACATAAATTGGTTATTCTCTAAGGTGCCACAAGTACTCCTTTTCTTTTTGTGAATACAGACTAACGCGGCTGCTACTCTGAAACTACCTTAACAGGAGCAGCAATGGGGATACCACTACACCAAGACAGCTTACCGGAAATGATTTAATGGACCAGACAATTTCACTGTTCTCTGGAACCCATTTGACACTGCCCACAGTGGTTTTAAATTTTGGTGAGTCTGCATCATTTGGAACTGGGATGTGAATCTCCACATTGTTGGCAGTTGATCTCCGCTTGAATTGACTCTTTGCCTAGAGAAAGTAAGCAATGCACTTTTTTTTTTGTAATTTTTCCCATCTCCCCACAAATGCCACAATTTGCAGGTTTTAAAAAAATCTTATTTGATCAGGTTCAGAGAGCTGGGAACTGTAAAACATCCTTCTCTGTCAGGAGTCTTATGAAAGATCCATGCACAAAAGTGTAATGCGGAGATCAGAACTAGATTAACTGTCAAATGGAAGTATACAAAAGATGAAAATAATCCATTATGATCCTATTAATACATTTAGCATGTCTATAAGACTTTATATTTTTAAAGTGCTTTTACCAACACTAATGTTAAGACTTTTTTTTAATTAAAAAAACTTGCACTACCTGTCAGTAAATCATACTGCCTTACAGGCAGAACACACCCTCTGCACTAGCTGATTATGTTTTGAATTGAGTAAAAACAGATCAATATTTATGAAAGGAGCTGTGATGTTACACCCCATATTCTTCATAGAAATATGGTTATGATATGAATATGGCATAACAGATATACTTTATGCAAGATGGCTCGTGTAACATATCATTGGAAAGGTTATGATTTACTGAATGTGAATATCCAATTTGTATGCATGTATCATTTCTGTATCTGAAGTTAGGAATATTGACTATGTAACAATTACAACTGTGTGTACACTTGGGGAAATGCGCACCAGACAGTAAGCAATCATCCTGAATGAGCCATTTAAGGAGGACAATAGAACTCTGAAGATACTAATCTCCCACCTTCCTAAAGAATGTCCTGGGATGCTGCATTGACACTACAAGGTCAGATGATAACGTCACCTGATGCAAAATATCACCTTGGACACTGCTAGTACTTTTCCTCTGTAGGGGGATGGGGATCAAACAAAGGTTTCCTGCCTTAGGATAGGTCCATCAATGGCTATTAGTCAGGATAGGCAGGGATGGGGTCTCTAGCCTCTGTTTGCCAGAAGCTGGGAATGAGCGACAGGGGATGGATCACTTGATGATTACCTATTCTGTTCATTCCCTCTGGGGCACCTGGCACTGTCCACTGTCAGAAGACAGGATACTGGGCTAGATGGACCTTTGGTCTGACCCAGGAGGGCCATTCTTATGTTCTAGGTAAATCCTTTTTAAGTCTGGGGAGGGGGTTAAGCTGGACTCTCCTCCATTGCCTACCCAAGAAGAAAGACTGCTGAAAGTACCTGAAAGGAAAAAAGAACTAACCTGAGGGGAAAGGCAGGGGTGAGTCCAGACTGAGATGGGGGTCCAGTCTGTAAAAGAAATAACTGGAACTCTAAGCTACAAAAACTCTGCAACTTGCCTAAAACAACATTATGGGTGAGAAATTACTTCTTGAAACCAGTTTCTTTAAGATCTTAAGCTTAGGATGAGTGTTTTGTTTTATTTGCTCAGTAATCTGCTTCGTTCTGTTTGCTATCACTTAAAATCTGCCTTTTATAGTGAATGAATTTGTTTTGTTTATTATTAAACCCAGTTTGTGCAATTTCTAACGGGGGGTTGGGGGGCACGAAGTTGTGCATATCTCTCTTAACGTTGAGGAAGAGGGCAAACTTTTATGAGCTTGCGCTGTGCAAATCTTTCTACACAGTGCAAGACAGTTATTTTGGGTTTATTCACAAAGGGGGAGTGCACATGAGTGCTGGGTGAATCCTCTCACACAGAGCTGACTTCAATCTGTGTCTGCAGCTGGGTGTAACCCTACTTGTTTCTGTACACTGCAAGAGGCTGGAGAGCCTAATTCAGCAAAACAGGGAGAGGAAATGCAGGCTGGTGGAGCAGGAGGGGCTCAGTGAAGCCTCAGTACATAAGGTGGCATCCCAGAAAGGGGATCTAACCCGTCACAGGAGCAGCTTTCCAGAAATCAAATGTACACTTTATATAACAAAATGTTTAAAGTAGGATCGTTTACATGGTTCGCCTTGTAGAAGGAGACTGAAATTAAGCGTAAGCATTTTGGTATCTCTGACCTTGATCATATACTCTATGCGGCTGTGGGAATGTTTCTCAATCACAGACTCAATCCAGATGAGTGGTTTTACCTGTTGGAGAACAAACAACTATACATCTTATTTTGACCTTGTCAGGAAAATGATACGTTTCCATACAGAGCAAAAAAAAAAAAAAATGAAGAAGAGAAGCCTATAGTGCTCTTTAAGACAAGAGAGTTAGATCAGATTCCAAAGATACTGGTCAGGAAAACATTTAATATGCAAATACATAATACGCAAAAATAATGATCAGGTGAGACCTGAGCGTTAGTCAAGAAGTCCTTAAAATATTCCATATATATAATTTGACAAGTATTTATAGATTATGAAAAGGTAGATAATTTCAATTACATGAGTATCTAATGGTTTTAATTTAACCCTATTCTCTGAGAGAAATTAACCCCCAAACCAGAAAACCATTCTCACTCTAACCCAACAAATTTAATAACTCAGGGCATTTGAGTTATTAAACAATGCTAGCCCTAAAAACTGTGAGATGATAACTCTGAATTTAAAGTATTTGTTTAAATTCAGTACTCCAATAATAAAAAGTCAGAAGTCCCACAGGCTTTTGAAAAGAAAAGGAGTACTTGTGGCACCTTAGAGACTAACAAATTTTTAAGGTGTTCTGGGTCTGCTGTTTTTTTGCCAGAGTTTTACAGAGTATGGGTCCTCAATATATAGAAACATGGCGGATGTTCTTGGGTACTGACTGATAAAGTAGGTTTTCCAGTCTCCCACATCATAGGTATGCCCAGCATAAGACGACAGGCAGGCCCTTTACAATGTTTTTGCTCCAAATGGGTCAATGCACAAATGTCACTATAGGCTTTAAAACCAATGAAATTCTCTCTTCTTCTCCTGCTCATTCTTCCTCACTGTATGTTACCAGCTTCTTCAGGTAGTTGTAGCAAAAAAAGATCTTACTGCCTTGGTCTTCCCCTTTCTATATTAGTTCTTATAATGCACTCATCACTATTGTATCCAAGCACCTTCCAGTAGTGTGTTAAGTAATGTGACTACACATCAGTCATGTATTGTTTACTCTCTCATCCTTCTCCCAGTAGGTAACTCAGTGACTAGACTTATGTAGTAATTGCTTCTCCTTTTCCCAGTGCCTTGAAGTAGCATATATAGCCTACTCTGAGGTAAGCATGGAACATCCCTATTAACAGCTAGCTCAATAATATCTAAAACTCATACTTTTTTTAAAGAAATATTAATTTTTCAGTGAAAGTGGAAAGGACTTTTACAGTTTTACTTGCAATTTAAAATGTTTTCATACACAAATTTGTTTTAGTCTAGAACAAAACATGTAGCCAGACTTACATGGGTATTAAGACGATATGACATGAGTTCAAACTCTCCATCAGGTGGGATGAAAGAAATTGTCCTGTCGTTTTCAAAGCGAGAGAGACGAACACACTGGTGAAACTTTACATCTTCTAGTTCTACTGATTTGCTTTTGCCACCTATCAGGAAAACATAAACCCCAATTTGTGTAGCACATGAAAAGCCTACCTCTCAGGCCATCACAGCAGATTATAATGCAACTGAGCAATCAGCTGCTCATACTCCCTACATTAGTTCTATTCTACTTCTAAGCTATTTCTAACTTCATTACAGTAACTTCAGGAATATAGGAATCTTAGTGAAAAGAGATTGGGAGTAGGCCATTGAAGTGGACTAATTTAAATGACATATTCTGCTCTTTTTGCTCAGTACAGTCATCGAAAATCTGGAATTGGAGCTCTGGTTTTAAGAGGAAGAAAAGCATTACACGTCCCAAAGAATTTAAGGAAGAGGTATTTCCCCCTGACATTTCACAAGTGCACAACGGAAGATGATGTTGCCATTCGTTCACAACCAATGCAACTATCCTGACACAGACAGACGGTACTATATTTGAATTCCTCCTCAACTCCCCTCCCACTACCTCCTCTCTTGTTCAAAGGCTGTGAATACACACCTCAATCTGCCAATGCCCACATTTAAGACTCTAACAAAGATCAAAAATGAGAAATACTAAAAAGTATTCATGCGCAAACTTAAGATGCAGGATTAATTCCTTTAGTGTGAATAGCTCCTGCTATAAAATTATTCTTTAAATTTAATTGTAAATAATTTTTAACTATCAGAGGGGACACCAAATTTGCATGTAATGTAGGTAACTTTGGGGCTAAAACAAGAGATGGTTCCTTAAAATGAAATTCACAGAGATATGAACCTGCATGATGGAAATCATCATCTTATACGTATCCATTAAGGCTAGAAATGGAGGATTTCTTAATTGAACAAAGACCAGGTCTTCATGGCAAATAGCAAATGAATGTGTTAGACTTCCTGCCCCCCTAAGGAGTGTCTCCCATCTGATAAAACATTAAATGAGTTGCTAACACTAAAATTACTCTTATACAGTGATACAACCTCCCCAACTAGGAAATTATAAGACCCACCGTCCTAGAATAACTCCTGTTATCTGAACTGACGTGCTGCATTGCCCCAAAGACAAAGAAACCAGGGAATACCTTTGTATGTTTTTAGAAATGCTGTATACATACTCACGTCCTGTATTATCAAAGAGTACTTTATCATTTAAACCGAGGCGAAGCTCTGGCATTCCTGAGAGAAAGACCCTCATTTTAATGGATCCAACTATCTCACTGCGCAATACATTTCCGTTGGCACTAACCTAAGAGCAAAGGAAGGTGGAGTCATTCTCCTCAGCTATTGAAACTGAATCTCTAACTAGCTTCATGCAATGATTTTACAATTATCTGTTTTCACAAGATTAGGAACCCAAAATAAATCACATTGAAAACTTAACCATAATCCTGGGAAACATATTTTTCATTAAAATTTGTACATTTGGACTGAAAGATCTTGTGTGTTGGTGCAGAATGTATATTGTCAAGTATCAAAAGGGGTAGCCGTGTTACTCTGGATCTGTAAAAGCAGCAAAGAGTCCTGTAGCACCTTATAGACTAACAGACATATTGGAGCATAAGCTTTCGTGGGTGAATACCCACTTCGTCGCATCGAAGGATATTCACCCACGAAAGCTTATGCTCCAATATGTCTATTAGTTTATAAGGTGCCACAGGACTCTTTGCCAATGTATATTGTGTTGAGGATGACATGTAGAGTTTTGTTTGTTAATAAAAAATAGGTAATAAGACTGTTGTTGTTAGGATACATCTTGAATAGGGCTGTCAAGCGATTAAAAAAACGAATCACGATTAATCGCACTTTTAAACAATAACAGAATACCATTTATTTAAATATTTTTGGATGTATTCTACATTTTCAAATATTGATTTCAATTACAACACAAAATACGAAGTGTACAGTGCTCACTTTATATTTATTTTTGATTACAAGTATTTGCACTGTAAAAAAAAAGATAGTATTTTTCAGTTCACCTAATGCAAGTACTGTAGGGCAATCTCTTTATCATGAAAGTTGAACTTCCAAAGTAGAATTATGTAAAAAAAACTGCATTCAAAAATAAAACTTAATATTTTATAGCCTGCAAGTCCACTCAGTCCTACTTCTTATTCAGCCAATTGCTCAGACAAACAAGTTTGTTTAAATTTGCAGGAGATAATGTTGTCCACTTCTTGTTTACAATGTCACCTGAAAGTGAGAACAGACATTCTCATGGCACTGTTGTAGCCGGCGTCGCAAGATATTTATGCGCCAGATGCGCTAAAGATTCATATGTTCCTTCATGTTTCAAACAATTCCAGGGGACATGCGTCCATGTTGATGACAGGTTCTGCTCAACAACAGTCCAAAGCAGTGCAGACCAACGCACGTTCATTTTCATTATCTGAGTCAGATGCCGGCAGCAGAAGGTTGATTTTCTTTTTTGGTGGCTTAGGTTCTGTAGTTTCTGCATTGGAATGTTGCTCTTTTGAGACTTCTGAAAGCATGTGCCACACCTCGTTCCTCTCAGATTTTGGAAGGTACTTCAGATTCTTAAACTTTGGGATGAGTGCTGTAGCTATTTTTAGAAATCTCACATTGGTACCATTTTTGCGTTTTGTCAAATCTGCAGTGAAAGTTTTCTTAAAATGAACAACATGTGCTGTTTCATCATCCGAAACTGCTATAACATGAAATATATGGTAGAATGCAGGTAAAACGGAGCTGGGGACATACAATTCTCCCCCAAGGAGTTCAGTCACAAATTTAATTAACACATTTTTTTTTTTTTTAAACAAGCATCATCAGCATGGAAGCATGTCCTCTGGAATGGTGGCCGAAGCACGAAGGGGCATACGAATGTTTAGCATATCTGGCACAAATACCTTGCAATGACGGCTACAAAAGTGCCATGCAAATGCCTGTTCTCATTTTCTGGTGACATTGTAATTAAGGACGCAGCGGCATTATCTCCTGTACAAGTAAACAAACTTGTTTGTCTGAGTGATTGGCTGAACAAAAAGTAGGACTGAATGGACTTGTAGGCTCTGAAGTTTTACATTGTTTTGTTTTTGAGTGCAGTTATGTAATAAAAAAATCTACATTTGTAAGTTGCACTTTCAGGACAAAAATTGCACTACAGTACTTGTATGAGGAACTGAAAAATACTATTTCTTTTGTTTATCATTTTTACAGTGCAAATATTTATAATAAAAAATATACACTTTGATTTCAATTACAACACAGAATATATATGAAAATGTAGAAAAACATCCAAAATATTTAATAAATTTCAATTGCTATTTTATTGTTTAACAGTGCGATTAAAACTGCAATTAATCACGATTAAAAAATTAATAGCCATTTTTTTTTGCGTTAATTGCAAGTTAACTGCGATTAATCAACAGCCCTAATTTTGAAGTTACAGCATTTAAGTTCATCAACCTTACAAGGAAGACACCAATTGAGAAATTGTTTCTTTAAGTGTTTGCTAGATCTATGAAAGTAGGTGTGGTAGACATGGCTTTGGAGTGGAGGCCGGAGCCCAGAGCAGATCCGGAGCAGTGGAGCTGCAGGTTTTTGCCTGGAGCTGGAGTGGAGCTGGAGCACAGCTCCAAAGCCCTGGTGGTAGATCCAGTAACCACTTCACAACACACCAAGAAATCTGTTATCTTCACCCAGGCACTCAGATACCGCAGAATATCTAAAGAAAGAGTCCAGGATATACACCTTAATACACCCAAAACTGCATTCACCAACAAGGACACTCCACCAGAGAAGTAGATCACATCATGGAACGGGCCTGCCAAATACCCTGAGAGAATCTGCTTCAATACAGCAGTAAAACCCCCTTTGACTCCAAGCCCTATTTGTCACCTACCATCCCACACTGGAAGCTATATGCGGTATCATGAAACAATACAACCAATACTCGATGGGGACCCCCACCCTGAAACAGACTTCCTAAACCCTCTCTTCTGGCCTTCAAACAACCCTAGGGTGACCATATTTCCCTATGCTGAATATGGGACACGCCATAAAATTACTCGTATTTAAGCAAGTGCAGCAGCAATCAATCAGAACTATGCAGTACAAACGTTCAAATTAACATCAAGTTGACTAAGCCTTTGTTAAAAATAAATATTGCATAGTTGGATTATATTTATTTGCCTTCTTATCTTTAAGGCTTTAGTGTTCACATGGGGAGAGGTGTCACACACACACACACACACACCCCACCCCCCCACCTCTTTCTCACCCAGGGCAGGTGACGGACTGACCTGACCCTCCCTGCTTGGTGCTCTCTGCCCTCCAGGCCTGGCTGAGAATCAATCCTGAAGCACTTGCATGAGAGGAAAGTGATCAGGAACAGCCAGCATGGATTCACCAAGGGAAGGTCATGCCTGACTAATCTAATCGCCTTCTATGATGAGATTACTGGTTCTGTGGATGAAGGGAAAGCAGTGGATGTATTGTTTCTTGACTTTAGCAAAGCTTTTGACACGGTCTCCCACAGTATTCTTGTAAGCAAGTTAAGGAAGTATGGGCTGGATGAATGCACTACAAGGTGGGTAGAAAGCTGGCTAGATTGTCGGGCTCAACGGGTAGTGATCAATGGCTCCATGTCTGGTTGGCAGCCGGTATCAAGTGGAGTGCCCCAAGGGTCGGTCCTGGGGCCGGTTTTGTTCAATATCTTCATAAATGATCTGGAGGATGGTGTGGATTGCACTCTCAGCAAATTTGCGGATGATACTAAACTGGGAGGAGTGGTAGATACGCTGGAGGGGAGGGATAGGATACAGAAGGACCTAGACAAATTGGAGGATTGGGCCAAAAGAAATCTGATGAGGTTCAATAAGGATAAGTGCAGGGTCCTGCACTTAGGACGGAAGAACCCAATGCACAGCTACAGACTAGGGACCGAATGGCTAGGCAGCAGTTCTGCGGAAAAGGACCTAGGGGTGACAGTGGACGAGAAGCTGGATATGAGTCAGCAGTGTGCCCTTGTTGCCAAGAAGGCCAATGGCATTTTGGGATGTATAAGTAGGGGCATAGCGAGCAGATCGAGGGACGTGATCGTTCCCCTCTATTCGACATTGGTGAGGCCTCATCTGGAGTACTGTGTCCAGTTTTGGGCCCCACACTTCAAGAAGGATGTGGATAAATTGGAGAGAGTCCAGCGAAGGGCAACAAAAATGATTAGGGGTCTGGAACACATGAGTTATGAGGAGAGGCTGAGGGAGCTGGGATTGTTTAGCCTGCAGAAGAGAAGAATGAGGGGGGATTTGATAGCTGTTTTCAACTACCTGAAAGGGGGTTCCAAAGAGGATGGCTCTAGACTGTTCTCAATGGTATCAGATGACAGAACGAGGAGTAATGGTCTCAAGCTGCAGTGGGGGAGGTTTAGATTGGATATTAGGAAAAACTTTTTCACTATGAGGGTGGTGAAACACTGGAATGCGTTACCTAGGGAGGTGGTAGAATCTCCTTCCTTAGAGGTTTTTAAGGTCAGGCTTGACAAAGCCCTGGCTGGGATGATTTAACTGGGAATTGGTCCTGCTTTGAGCAGGGGGTTGGACTAGATGACCTTCTGGGGTCCCTTCCAACCCTTATATTCTATGATTCTATGAGCCCTCAGGATGGGCCCACCTCACCTGGTACCTGGCGCCGCATCTTCCCAAGGTAACACATGGAGTGTGTGTGTGGGGAATGCAGGGTCACATGCCCCAACCCCAGATTTCTGCCAGGGTTCACAGCAGAATGTGGCTAGCAGCAGTCTTTTGGCACTGTGCAAGAAGGAAGGGACGGGAGCTGCTTCCAGATGCAGGGGAGGAGGGGGTGGAGGGAGGGATGATATGGCTCGTGTCTCTGAGGAGCTCATCTCTTCCCTCCTCCGCCCCCCTACCCACTCCCTTATGGCTGGAAGCAACTTGTCCCTTCCTGCCCTCACAGTGTTGAAAGGCAGCTAACACCTCCAGGCCACTGCTGGCCATGGACATAACCCAGTGGCTTCCCATCCCCCAGCCACAGCACGGGTAGGAAGGGGTTAAGCCCTAAGGATGCACTGTGCACCAGGGCCCAGGGAACCTGACTGCAGGGGCTTCAGCAAACAGAGCCAGAGAGGTGGTTCAGCAGGGGAGGGTGCCTAGGGGACGGAGCAGCCCTGGGAGCAAGACCCAGTGGGCAGAGAGAAGTGAAGAGGCCCCTAAGGGTGGGGGAGGCTGCTGCGGAGCCTGCAGGGTCAGGGCACAAACAGGCTGGAAATCACTCTCTCCTCTGCTGCCACCACTCCAGAGATTAGCTGACGGGCGGAAAGGCTGCCCTGTGCGGCTTTGGCACATACAGGAATCAGTTCCTCCTGGCTAGTGCCCTGGGCTGGAGGGTCTTGCGTTTTCCCGGGGCACCGGCACAACCAGAGGCAGTGGGGGAAGGAAGGAGCCTGTTGGCCAGGCTGTTGGTGAACTGAACGCTCCCACCAGGGGCTGGCTCTCTGCACAGCGCTGGGAGCGGGATGTGTCCCGCACGGGGGGAAATGGAAGAGAGAGTCAGGGGAAAGAGGGTGAAGGGGCAAAGCAGGAAGAGGGCAGCGAGAGTGGGAGCATGTAAAGGGCCGATGGCTGGGCAGCAGAGGCAACATGTAACTGGCCGCTGCCTGCCCACACTCACCAGCCACTGCAGCGCGCAGTCAGTGCCGGTCGGAAACGGGACAGGGCCCTACTGGCTGAGAGCTGGCACACAGCAGGGACTGCGCTGATGGACCAGCAGGAGGAACAGCTAGCCTTGCACACTGCAGCTTTACCCCGCCATCAGCCTTGCACACCCACCCCCATCGCTGGCCACTGGACCCCTCCCACTCACTGCTGGTGGGCAGGCGGCTGGCGAGCTGGGATCTGGCCAGCAGCAGGAACCGCCAGTATTGATTTGGGGGGGAGGGGGGAGAGGGAGAACAGAAGAGACAGAAAACAGAAAATACAGGACAATTTGCCCATTTTTAAGAAAAATTAAGGACACCTGCAGGAGTGCTTAAATACGGGGATGTCCCTTTAAAAAAGGGATGTCAGGTCACCCTAAACAACTCCCTAACCTCTCCTAGATCATTGTCAGAGGCAAGCTCCCCACAGAACAGGGCACACCTACTCAAAGTGGCACCAGACCCTGCCAGAAGAACAGATGCAAAACCTGTAGATCATTGTAGCAGTGGAGATACAGCAAAACCCCTTACAATACACCTTTCAAGATCCATGGATCCTACACATGCCTAGCACCATATGAGATCTGCCTCATCCACTGCGCTAAACATTCCAACAAAAACTATCTGGGTGAACCAGACAATCATTACGCTCTCAAATGCACTCCCACAGTAAAATGATGAGACAAAAACACCCTATCACTTGTGGGTGTACACTTTTCACAAAGTGATTACTCTATATCTGACTTATCAGTCCTCCTCCTGAAAGGAAACATGCACAACACTTTCAAAAGACAAGCTGTGACACTCAAGAGTACCTTTCCCAGACCTGAAGAAACACTTATGTAGCTCAAAAGCTTGTCTCTCTCACCAACAGAAGTTGGTCCAATAAAAGATATTACCTCAACCCCGCCTTGTCACTCTAATATCATGGGACCAACAGGGCTACAACAACACTGCATACATCCTTGGGAGTCATTCCATGGGAATAGCATAGAGTTTATTTCATTCAGAGTGTGAGGATTAGGCAGGAATATAAGGAGTCCCTTTGTTTTTCAAGTTTAGCATGGAAAAGAAGCTCCCTGAAAGTTGAAAAAAAATCTATTAAGCAGCATAATATAAATGCAGTTATATGAGTATTACTTATAACAGCTTAAGTCACTACCATTATCGATCACTCAATCCGGTGACATTTAAATTGTTTCAAATGTAATACTATAATTTGATAGACTAATTAAGACTACTCATATACACTGACTTCGGCTTTCATTTTGTGTTTGCATATTTACAGATTATTACAATTCTCATTAAAAAAGATAGATAAAATTCAGGTAAAATATAAACCCACCAAGAGGTTAACAGATTCTATAACGTCCAGAAACACTTCATTTTTCCTATACTTTATCCCTTCTGACCTCCAGGAAACAGCATTGGTAACAGTGGCAGGTGGGCGTGGAGCTCCAGTTTCCAGTTTGTGGCCTTCTTGAGTGATGTACCTTCAGAACCACATATGTTTTTTAAAAATATGAAAGTTACATTTTGTAGCCTTAGCAATTTGTTTGGTGTCACAGGTATTATTATGTCAGCAGCAAAGAAAGGAAGTCTGACAATTCAAGTCCTAGAAAATATTAACTAATCTTTTCTTGCCAGGTCAAGTCAGATCATGTGTTTATTTACCTGATAGGAAACTGTATCAGTCCATCAACAAAGACAGGAAAAGGTTAACAGATTTTTGACAGAAGTGTCCTATTAATTTTTTTTCAGGCTGATAAAAGAAAGGAAAATCTACAAATTGACCCCCACATTGTATAACCTTAATTCATACAAGTTAACATCTTTATGCTCATAAATATTCCCAAAGCATCTGTCACCTGGTATCTAAGAGCCAGTACACTGATACTTACTCTTGCAAAATTTTACTGTCAGTGGTTTGAGGATAGCCAAAATCCATGAGCTCATCAAGCAATTCATAAATTATAACAAAGTTATCTCGAATGCTCTCTTCTTCCAACTCCTTGAAATATTCTGAAAATACCTGAAATGTAAACGTTAGAAAACAACACTCAAGTCTCAAATTAAAGAAAATTTAGTTCACATTACTTCTAACCCTCCATTTCTGAAACTACAAGAGTTTTGGTGAGCTACTGTAGAGAATTAAAGTAATTTGCTGAGCCTTAAAATCCAAGTTTCCTGACTTTCAAGTGTCATTTTTTTCACACTACAAATTAGAACACAACCATAATTGGCCAAGCTTGAAAAGGCCTTATACTCAATTCAATAGGATTTCTGTGTGTAACAATAACTTTTGACCACCACATCTAATCAATTCCAAAATTTCAGGGAATGTTCTCGGTACCAATGGTCAGAACCCTATTGATTTTTCCCCATTGTGGAAAAATTGGAAAGAGTCCAATGGAGGGCAACAAAAATGATTAGGGGACTGGAACACATGACTTATGAGGAGAGGCTGAGGGAACTGGGGATGTTCAGTCTGAGGAAGAGAAGAATGAGGGGGGATTTGATAGCTGCTTTCAACTACCTGAAAGGGGGTTCCAAAGAGGATGGCTCTAGACTGTTCTCAGTGGTAGCAGATGACAGAACAAGGAGTAATGGTCTCAAGTTGCAGTGGGGGAGATTTAGGTTGGATATTAGGAAAAACTTTTTCACTAGGAGGGTGGTGAAACACTGGAATGCGTTACCTAGGGAGGTGGTGGAATCTCCTTCCTTAGAAGTTTTTAAGGTCAGGCTTGACAAAGCCCTGGCTGGGATGATTTAGTTGGTGTTTGTCCTGCTTTGAGCAGGGGGTTGGACTAGATGACCTCCCGAGATCCCTTCCAACCCTGATATTCTATGATTCTATGATTTCAGGGCAAATCAGAAAACCAAAAAGGGAAAATGGAGGGCAAATACAGCCTCATCAGCTCTTTAGCACCCCTGCAATTGCCTGTAGTTCAAAGATTTCCTTGGTGGCACCATTAACACCTTCACACACAAAGGTACTCCTATTCATCTCTGTTTATATTCCCAGTAGAGAAACAAGGTGGGTGAGGTTTTTTTACTGGACCAACTATGGATGTAAATATCGTTTAAAAAGTTAACTGTTTAAACGATTAAAGTTAAACTGGGGCCACTCTGGCCGAGTAGCGCGGGGCCGCTGGGACCACTCTGGCCAGGGGTTTAACAGTTAAGGTGGGTTAACTGGTAAGACTAATGCTTATTGGTTAACCAGTGAACATTTTACATCCCTAGGATCAACTTCCATTGGTAAGAAGAGCTCTGTTTAATATCAAAGCTTCTCTCACCAGCAGAAATTTGTCCAATAAAAGATACTACCTCACCCACCTGGTCTCTAATATCCTGGGACCAACACAGCTACAAAACTGTATACGCCCAGTAGTTTAACATGCTGAATGGCTTCTCTCTCGCTCTCAAAAAAAAAAAAAAAGTGGCGTGAGAAGGAGAATAGGAGGCATGAGGGGAATGAGGAGAGTGCACACAGCCACTGGAATGTGGAGAGAAAATAGGGGGGGGACCCTGGTATGGGGAGGGGCGAATGTAGCACACAGAACCCTCAGTATGGGGGGAGGAGATTGAGGGACCTTGCATGGTATGAAGACAGGGAAGGATAAAGGCAGGCTTATAAAGCCCTTGGATGTGGGGAGGTGGTAATGAGTGTTCACACAGAGCCCCCTGCTATGGAGGAGAGAGGGGGATCCTACTATGGGGAGGGAGCATAGACCCCCTGCAACGGAGGAAAATGAGGGATATTAAAATGCATGGAGGGAGGAATGGGGCACAAAGAACACCTAGTGTCTGTGTGTATGGGGAGGAGGGGAGGAGAGATTGGAGGATCCTGGTATGGGGTGGAAAGGAGGACTAGGGGTGCACAGAGCCCCTGGCATGGTGGGGGAATGGGGCGCACAGAGCCCAGGCCATAGAGGGGAATGGGGGAAAATGGGAATGGGGGTGCACACAGAGCTGATGGTGGTGGTGCGGGGAGCACAGAGAGCGAGAGAAGGGGATCACATGGAGACCCTGGAAGGGAAGAGACTGGCTGGAATTGCAGGGAGCCCCTGAAAAAGAGGAGGATGGGAGGGTGGCACCCAGAGATCTTGTGAGGGGAATGGAGGATTGCAAGGAGCCCTTGGTGCATGCAATATATTCAACCTACAAAAGCTATGAAGTGTGTGACTGACACACACACACACACACCCACCCCTCCCCTAGTACTATTTTAACAATTTTTTGTGTGGGGATATAACAGTTATTGAAATAAACACTGGGCTTAGCCTCAAAACCTATGCTCTGGAAATTTAAACCAACTCAGTCTCAGCTTCTCTTCTTTCAAGCAGTTCCTTACATTTATGCATATCTGAAATCTTTGGCTAAAACACATTGCCGCAGCTCAGAGCAGACTGGGCCCCAAATGCGTATTTTTAAAACCTGCCCACCAAGCAGTAGTGCTTTCCTCCAATGTCATTTAATAGCAGCCCCCCCCCCCTTTTTTAAAACTAGCTGGAGCTTCATACACATTAGGGTTGTGGCCCCTGAAAATTAAAACAAACTACAGTGTATGTGGAATATGACTGCCTATAAATATTCCTTCCAGGAAGGATACCTGTCACCCTGGTTAAGGGAAAAAAAACAAAACCCAATAACCACAGTTTGTAATGTACCACACAGCATCCATTAAGCACATCCAAGCCCTGTCTTATCCTAGAAGAGTAGTCCCTTCCAGAAGTCACACAGTAAGAAAGTCACTAAAGAAAAGGAAACTGTTTTCTTCCCAAATATATACTTCAGAACAGTGGCTCTCAACCTTTCCAGACAACTGTACCCCTTTCAGGAGTCTGATTTGTCTTGCGTACCCTCAAGTTTCACCTAACTTAAAAACTACTTGCTTACAAAATCAGACATAAAAAAAAAAGTGTCACAGCACACTATTACTGAAAAATGGCTTACTTTCTCATTTTTACCATATAATTATATACTGACTTTGCTAGTGCTTTTCATTACCTTGTTGTAAAACTAGGCAAATATCTAGATGCGTTTATGTACTCCCTGGAAGAGTACTGTGTACCCCTGTTTCAAAACCAATGCTTTGGAGAATAGCTTGCTGAAAAGCTATCTTCCTTGCCTGTCAACCAGAGCACAACACCCAGATCTTTGAATCTCTCCACTGGCTTTTATCTGCATACTGCATTGAGTTTAAAATTCTCATCCCCAATCTCATGGCCTTACACACAGCTACCTACAGAAAACACTTCAGACATTGTCTTGTCTGCTGAACTTTGGCTCCCTCCACTCTAAAATACAAGGCCTATGTGTTTCTTTTTTCTTTTCCTGACTCTGTGCTGCCACTTAACTGCAGCATAGGCTCCCTAGTCCAGCTCCTCAAGTCACCATATTACTCAAAGACTTCCTAAAATTTGTTTCTTCCAAAATGCCCACAAAGCACACAAAAATTTAGTGAAGTGGCCTCTCCTCTGACTTTCACATTGTATCTCATTTTCTGTCTCTCTCTTATATTGTAACATTCTGTCAGTATCCTTGTCCTGTACAGCACAAAATAAATATAAGTAGCTAACATGGAAAGATCTTAACATAACCACATATAAACTAGATATACCATTTCTGCACATAACCACATATAAACTAGATATGCCATTTCTGCACAGCACTATAAAATTAAAAGATTTCTACCTCTGTATAAAAGATATGTTCAGTTATCTGAACAAAGATTACTTGACCGATTTAATACTCACCTGAACCACCTTGTAAAGAAATGAAAACACCAGAGACACACAAGCATTCTTCTTAGAAGTAGCAACAACTGAAAAAGTATGTTCAGGAACCAGTGTTTAAAGTTACCATATAAAAAAAATTTACAATTAAATACATTTTTAAAACCCTTTTACTAAGTTATTACAGCTGGCCCAAACATTAAGGAAGCAGCAATAATATTCTTCTTTCCAGAGTCATTAGATACTGAGAATCCTTGGGTTTGTTTTGTCATTTCTGAATGTTTAACTACTGGGAGGCGAAGAACAAAAATAAAGATTCAGGAAATGCTTATATTAAATTGACACTTAAACACTCTCATAACATTATTAGCACAGGATCTTACATGAAAAGAATAACTCCTTTTATATAATTTTTTTTTGCATATTTGTAAATCTCAATCAGTAAAATCATACTCGTGAGCTTATGTTACTTATTGCCCTATATGTTTTCATGTCAGTTCCATTCTAGGGATGTAAAAGTTCAATGGGTTAACTGATAACGATTAAATTCAGCTGGAGTCCTGGGACGCCAGCCGGATGGGGGGGTGGGATCCCCGACAGGCACAGGGCTGGCTGCAGGGGGCCCCCATGTAAGACATGGGGGTGCTACAGCACCCCCCCACACCGCTAGTTTCCCGGTTAAAGGTTTAACCGTGTAACTGATAGAATTTTAATCAGTTACATGGTTACTGTTTTTACATGTTATTTACATCCCTATTCCATTGAAGCCCAAATTCTGAAAATCCACCAACGTGCTCATCAGTTTCACTATATTAACAGGTTTACGCTTTAAAGCAGTCACCAACCGGTCGATCACGATCGACTGGTCAATCCTAGAGGATCTCCCGTCGTCGCAATCTCCAGTGGTGTAGTGGGGCTGCTGCTAAGGCAGGCTCCCTGCCTGACCCTACCCCACGCTGCTCCTGAAAATGGCCAGTGTGGCCCCACAGGCAGGGGTCTCCCTCTGCATGCTGCTCCTGCCTGCAAGCACCGCCCCTGCAGCTCCCATTGGCCAGGAATGGGGAGCTGTGGCCATAGGGAGTTGCGGGAGCAGTGCCTGCAGAGAGGGACTGCACATGGAGCCACGTTTCCCCCCCCCCCTCCCTCAGGGGCCACAAGGGTGCGTTGGCCCCTTCCGGGAGTGGCATGGGGCCGGGGTAGGCAGGGAACCTGTCTTAGCGGCAGCCACCAACCAGGAGCTGCTAGAGGTAAGTGTTGCCCAGCAGGAAGCTGCACACCAACCACCAGCCCTGAGTCCCCTCCCGGAGCCAGCACCCCATACCCCCTCCTGCACGCCAAACCCCAGCCCTGACCCCCCCTCTGCACCCCAACACTCTGCCCCAGCCCGGAGCCTTCCCCCCCACCCCCAGGCTCAGCCCAGAGCCCCCTCCTACACTACAAACCCACTCCAGCCCAGAGTCCGCACCCCCTCACATACCTCAAACCCCTACCCCAGCCCGGTAAAAGTGAGTGAGGGTTGGGGACAGCAAGCGACCGCTGGGGGGGGGTGTTGGGGGGAATGGAGTGAGCGGGGTGGGGCTTTGGGGAAGGGGCAGGGTAGATCCTGGATTGCCCTTAAATTCAAAAAGTGATTTTGGGCATAAAAAGGTTGGAGACCACTGCTTTAAAGGATACGATATAAGTTGTTGTGTTTAATCCACATAAAACGAACTCCTCCATGAGCTAGAATGGGAGAAAGCATTCCCTCTTCTTCCTTTTCCATAAGAATTGGCATGAAATGCTCCACCTCAGACATATCCACATCTCCACGGTAATTCCGGCAGATGAGGACCTGCAATATACGTGCAACAGAAATCTGAATAGGTTTTAAAAACAAATGCCGAAGTTACCATTTGAAAACAACACATATGATCCTTGGGAAGTACTTCATTAAAAGATACAAGACAAATGACCAGGGAAGAGTATAAAAATATTGCTCAGGCATGCAGGAGTGAAATCAGGAAGGCCAAATCACATTTGGAGTTCCAGCTAGCAAGAGATGTTAAGAGTAACAAGAAGGGTTTCTTCAGGTATGTTAGCAACAAGAAGAAAGTCAAGGAAAGTGTGGGCCCCTTACTGAAAGAGGGAGGCAACCTAGTGACAGAGGATGTGGAAAAAGCTAATGTACTCAATGCTTTTTTTGCTTCTGTCTTCATGAACAAGGTCAGCTCCCAGACTACTGCACTGGGCAGCACAGCATGGGGAGGAGGTGACCAGCCCTCTGTAGAGAAAGAAGTGGTTCGGGACTATTTAGAAAAGCTGGAGGAGCACAAGTCCATGGGGCCGGATGCGCTGCATCCGAGAGCGCTAAAGGAGTTGGCGGATGTAATGGCCAATGGCTCTGCAATTATCTTTGAAAACTCATGGCGATCAGGGGAGGTCCCGGACGACTGGAAAAAGGCTAATGTAGTGCCCATCTTTAAAAAAGGGAAGGAGGAGGATCTGGGGAACTACAGGCCAGTCAGCCTCACCTCAGTTCCTGGAAAAATCATGGAGCAGGTCCTCAAGGAATCAATTCTGAAGCACTTAGAGGAGAGGCAAGTGATCAGGAACAGCCAGCATGGATTCACCAAGGGCAAGCGTGCCTGACTAATCTAATTGCCTTCTATGACAAGATAACTGGCTCTGTGGATGAGGGGAAAGCAGTGGACATGTTATTCCTTGACTTTAGCAAAGCTTTTGACATAGCTTTTGACCTAGACAAATTGGAAGATTGGGCCAAAAGAAATCTGATGAGGTTCAATAAGGATAAGTGCAGGGTCCTGCACTTAGGACGGAAGAACCCAATGCACAGCTACAGACTAGGGACCGAATGGCTAGGCAGCAGTTCTGCAGAAAAGGACCTAGTGGTGACAGTGGACGAGAAGCTGGATATGAGTCAGCAGTGTGCCCTTGTTGCCAAGAAGGCCAATGGCATTTTGGGATGTATAAGTAGGGGCATAGCGAGCAGATCAAGGGATGTGATCGTTCCCCTCTATTCCACATTGGTGAGGCCTCATCTGGAGTACTGTGTCCAGTTTTGGGCCCCACATTACAAGAAGGTTGTGGATAAACTGGAGAGAGTCCAGCTAAGGGCAACAAAAATGATTAGGGGACTGGAACACATGACTTATGAGGAGAGGCTGAGGGAACTGGGATTGTTTAGTCTGCAGAAGAGAAGAATGAGAGGGGATTTGATAGCTGCTTTCAACTACCTAGGAGGTGGTTCCACAGAGGATAGTTCTAGACTATTCTCAGTGGTAGAAGAGGACAGGACAACGAGTAATGGTCTCAAGTTGCAGTGGGGGAGGTTTAGGTTGGATATTAGGAAAAACTTCTTCACTAGGAGGGTGGTGAAACACTGGAATGCATTACCTAGGGAGGTGGTAGAATCTCCTTCCTTAGAAGTTTTTAAGGTCAGTCTTGACAAAGCCCTGGCTGGGATGATTTAATTGGGGATTGGTCCTGCTTTGAGCAGGGGGTTGGACTAGATGACCTCCTGAGGTCCCTTCCAACTCTGATATTCTATGATTCTATGGTCTCCCACAGTATTCTTGCCAGCAAGTTAAAGTAGTATGAGCTGGATGAATGGACTATATGGTGGAGAGAAAGCTGGCTAGATCGTCGGGCTCAACGCGTAGTGATCAATGGCTCCAAGTCTAATTGGCAGCCGGTATCAAGGGGAGTGCTCCAAGGGTCGGTCCTGGGACCGGTTTTGTTCAATATCTTCATTAATGATCCGGAGGATGGCGTGGATTGCACCCTCAGCAAGTTTGCAGATGACACTAAACTGGGAGGAGTGGTAGATACGCTGGAGGGTAGGGATAGGGTCCAGAATGACCTAGACAAATTGAAGGATTGGGCCAAAAGAAATCTGGTGAGGTTCAACAAGGACAAGTGCAGAGTCCTGCACTTAGGACAGAAGAATCCCATGCACCGCTACAGACTAGGGACCGAATGGCTAGGCAGCAGTTCTGCAGAAAAGGACCTAGGGGTGACAGTGGACGAGAAACTGGATATGAGTCAACAGTGTGCCCTTGTTGCCAAGAAGGCTAATGGCATTTTGGGATGTATAAGTAGGGGCATTGCCAGCAGATCGAGGAACGTGATCGTTCCCCTCTATTCGACATTGGTGAGGCCTCATCTGGAGTACTGTGTCCAGTTTTGGGCCCCACACTACAAGAAGGGATGTGAAAAAATTGGAAAACGTCTAGCGGAGGGCAACAAAAATGATTAGGGGACTGGAACGCATGACTTATGAGGAGAGGCTGAGGGAACTGGGATTGTTTAGTCTGCAGAAGAGAAGAATGAAAGGGGATTTGATAACTGCTTTCAACTACCTGAAAGGGGGTTCCAAAGAGGATGGATCTAGACTGTTCTCAGTGGAAGCAGATGACAGAACGAGGAGTAATGGTCTCAAGTTGTAGGTTTAGGTATGATGTTAGGAAAATCTTTTTCACTAGGAGGGTGATGAAGCACTGGAATGGGTTACCTAGGGAGGTGATGGAATCTCCTTCCTTTGAGGTTTTTAAGGTCAGGCTTTACAAAGCTCTGGCTGGGATGATTTAATTGGGGATCGGTCAGGGGGTTGGACTCGATGACCTCCTGAGGTCCCTTCCAACCCTGATATTCTATGAAATTTCAACATAAAGTAGATTTTTACTTACAGTTTAGCAGTTCAGTACTTTACACTTATGCAGTGGAATCCCAAAGAGCTTAACTAACTGAATTACAAACTGTACGTGGGACCCTTTCATTCACAACTCAAATACAGCTTTTAGAATCACAACAGCTGTTAAATAGCACATACCAACATTAGAGACAGAAAATACATCGCTTATAATACAAAATCACAGAATGAATTTGGATATGCAGAATGTAGTTACCCCAAAATGGAATATGGTCAAGAAACCAGAGTTAGCATCACTAACATTTGTTAAAGTATCTTGGTATCTTTAGTTGCCATAAGCAATTGATATCTTCATTTCCCTTACCCAAAAATCAGACCCTTCAGCAGCTCAGTGCCCCCTTAACATGCATGAGCTTTCATTCATCAAAGGCTAGGAGAAAAGGGTCCAGAAGGGGAGAGTGGAGGAGGAAGAGAGCACTCTACTAAAATCAGCATTTCCTGCAACATTGCAGCTGGAAGGTCACTGGTCACCAATCCAAGCACTGACAAGGTCTAGTCCAAATAAAACTTCCAGTGTAAGCCAAGGCAGCATTATCGGCAGGCTGTAACCACAACGTGAGGACCCACGGCAGGCTAGAGGAAATGGGAGGAGAGAGAGAATCCCCATCCTAGGGGCCCAGAACAGAGGGGGGCTCACAGAGCAAGCTAGAGAGAGAACATGGGGGACTGTTACCCTAAGACAGCTCTGAGGTGAGGAAACAGGGCAGGCTAGGGAGAAGTTAGAGAGCTCCCCTCCCGCTCCGGAGCCGTTCGGCCCCTCTACGCCCATGTTCCCTCAGCCTATGAGGAAGCTTAGCCCATTCACAGACCAGGGCCTCTTCACAGGCTCAGGCCGGGCTCCACGGGGCCCACCCGCCCCAGACGTCTCTCTCGGGAGGGGTTACCCCCAGGCCCCGTCCCTCCAACGCCTCACCTTGCCCTTTAGGTCCAGCACGTACACGGCACTGGCAGACATCGCGCCCCCAGGTGCTCGGCGCCTCCCGGCACGGCGCCCCCAGCTCGCGCGCCAGATCTCACTTCCGGCCGGAAAAGGCGCTGCTTCCGCTTCCGCTCTCATGCCGCACCACCGGCGGAGGAAGCAGCAAAGCTCGGGGCCGGCTCGCAGTCGCTGCGTGGGCGGAAGGATATGGCCGCGCGGAGGTCCGTCAGCGAAATGGCCGCGAGATGAAGCTGAGCGTAGAGCGGGACTCTAGAGGCACTTCTCTGAGACCCTCTAATGGAAACATTCCGGGCAGCTGCGGCGGTTGAGGGATCAGACCTATCCGCGCCCGTCTGGCCCTCGCTTTCCTCTCGAGTCTGTCGCTCCGGTGACCCGCGGGGCGAGGAACGTGAGTGCGGGTGGAAGGAGCATAGCGGCGCATCAGCCGGCGTGGGACCAGAGAGAGCTGGCAGGAGAGGCTCGCGGGGCCGCGGCCTCGCACCAGGAGCAGGCTCTTGTCTCTTCCCAGGGGAGACGCAGCACCCCAGGCCTGGAGTTGCACTTCCCCCTCTGTGGAATAAGCCGTTTTAGGGGAGGAAGCGGGTGTTCCTGCCACCCCCTGTCCTTCGGGTGGCACACGCTGACCCACAGATGAGCTTAGGGCAGCTGTTTTTGTTCATCAGAGTGCTTTTACCTACTTTTTATTTGTAACCTTCGCCATTTTGTCCTGTCTTTATCAATTAGTGAATTCTCCTTCTTTCTTTGATAGGGTTACTGCCCTAGTTAATGCGAGGAAGCAATAGATCTGCTATCTCTTGATTTTAGCAAGACTTTTGCCACAGTCCCACATGACATTGTCATAAGCAAACTAGGGAAATGCTATTTAGATGAAATTACTAAAAGGTGGATGCATAACATGTTGAAAGACCATACTCAAAGCATAGTTATCAATGGTTTGCTGTCAAATTGGGAGGGGACTAGTGGGGACTGCAGGAGTCAATTCTGTGTCTGGTACTATTCAATATTTTCATGAGTGACTTGGATAATGGAATGGAGAGTATTCTTCTAAAATTTTCAAATGACACCATGCTCGGAGGATACATGCACTATGGAGGACAGGAGTAGTATTCAAAACAACATGACAAATTGGAGAATTGGTCTGAATTCAGTAAGTTGAAATACACTAAATACAAAGTACTTAAGGAAAAAATCAAATACACAACTACTAAATGACTAACGCGGTTGTACTATATCTGAAAAGGTTCTGGGAGGTTATAATGGATCACAAATTGAATGTCAACAATGTGATGCAGCTGCAAAAAAGGCTAATATTCTAAGCTGTATTAACAGGAGTGTTGTATATAAAAGATGGTAGGTAATTGTCTTGCTCTATACAGCAATTGTGAGGCCTCAGCTGGTGTATGTCCAATTGTAGGTGCTCTACTTTAGTAAAGATGTGGACAAATGAGAGTGAGTCCAGAGGATAATAAAAATGATAAAAGGTTTTGGAATACTGACCTATGAGGAAAGGCTAAAAAGAGAGTCATATTTCATCTTGGGAAAAGAAAACTGCTGAGACACTTAAAATATGGTAAGGGCTGTTACAAAGAGGGCAGTGATCAATTGTTCTCCTATGTCGGCTAAAAGTAGGACAAGAAGCAATGGGCTTAATCTGCAGCAAGGGAGATTTAGATTAGCTATTAGGAAAACCTTTCTAACTGTAAGGGTAATGAAATTCTGAAACAGGCTTCCAAGGGACGTTGTGGAATCCCCACTACTGGAGGCTTTTAAAAACAGGTAGGCCAGACACTAGTCAGGGATAGGCAACGTTTACTTGCTCCTGCCACAGCACAGAGGGCTGAACTTGATTACTTTGATTCTGTTTATTAAACTCCCACGATTATTAATTGAGCAATATTTTACTTATTTTCATAATTAAATGTTACAATTTTAACCTAGAATTGCACTTAGTATTCTTCCAAAACAGAATGAGGGACTAAAGAATTGTAAATATAAAATCAGTTCAGTGGGGTGAGGCTGATAACTGCCAAGGTACCATCAAGGTGCCACCATTCTCCCTTGCATATATAGTCCAATCACAGAAAAAAGGTTGTAAATAAGCTTTTCTCACTTGTAGTTCTAGGTCTATAGTTATTTTGAAGAGTTACAAGCAGTTTAAGAAGAGTTTTAGGAAGCAACCAGAAAATATTTAAGAGTAATTCTAGATGTAGACAAACGACATAATCCCTTGAATTCATAAATGAAGTTTATTATGTAGGACACTGTTGAAGTTATCCTCCTTTCAAAGGAAAGAAGAAAAAAGGTATCTACCAGCTAATATTAGAACAATACACTAGATAAATTTCTCCAATAAGCTTGAACTACCTTTGGCCCTGATCCTGCTGAGAGCTCTGCAAAGGATCCATATCCTTGCACCTGAGTAGAGGCTCAGGGCCTTTACTAGTAGTTCAAGAAGATGGCTGTGCTGTGAACATAGTTTTAAATGAACAATGAAAAAAGTGCCAGGATACAAATGTTTACATAAAATTAATAAAATATACAACTTGGAGAGCAGAGATTTGCGAAGTCATTTCCTTTGAATAAAAAGCCTGCTCAGAATCCAAAACTGTGGAAAAGAAGACATTCACTTAGTCCAGCTAACTTTGGGAATGTCATAATGTTCAGTCAGAGCGTCCAAGTGTCTGTTGAAATCCTAGGAGGAAAAAAAGTATTTTAAGATATATATTATTGACATACTTGATCTTGCTATTTCCTCCTCCATGTTTATACTTGGCAATTCCAGATCAAACCAGTAGCACAACTGGTACAGTATCCTGTCTGCCAGCACCAGATAAGAACATAAGAGCAGCCATAGTGGGTCAGACCAATGGTCCATCTAGCCCAGTATTCTGTCTTCCAACAGTGGCCAATGCCAGGTGCTTCAGAGGGAATGAACAGATGCTTCAGAGAAAGGGGCAAGAAACCCCACAATGGATAGTTATGAAATAGAATGCCCCGAAGGAAAGTTTCTACCTAATTTTCCATCAAGTGGTTGGCTTTTGACCTTGTATCATTTAAGAAGTCCTTATAGGTGGCTAATCCTTTTTTGGATCCAGGTAAAAACTCTTGATTTCAATATGGGTGTGAGCTACACAGATTACTTTTCTTTTATCAGTTGTAAATCTGTTCCCTTTCAATTTCATTCACTATTCCCCTTTTGCTGTATTTAAAGAGATTACAAAGAAATATCACATTTATCTTTCTATACCACCTATTTTGTATACCTCACTAATATCCTTGTCTTCTCTCCAAAACAAGGACAGTTCTAATCCTCCATTTTTCTCTTCATATATAAGTCTCTTATGCCTCCATTTCTGCTGCTTGGAGCAGGGGGGAGCAAACTACAGCCCGCGGGCCGCGTCCAGCCTATAAAGCCTTTTAATCTGGCCCTCGAGCTCCATTGCCCCACTCTGGCGCTCCTGCTGGAGAGTGGGGTCAGGGGCTTGCCCCGCTCCGGTGCTCCCGCGTGTTCAGGACCTGTGTGACAGGCATGAGGGTGCGCATGTTACTCTGGCTGCACAACCCAAACACACCTCACGCGCCATCAGAACCCGGAACGTGCAAGCCCACTTGGCTGCTACTTGTTCGCTTAGCTGAGTGCTTGGTGGCGGTTTTCAAAGCTGTGGGCTGTCGGGACCTATTGGGGAGGAGATTTCTGAGAGCAGGGGGCTGGTGAATCTCAATGAGTTCCAATGACTGGAAGCTGACACCCGACAAATTCAGGCTAGAGAGAAAGGGCGTAAGTTTACTTTAATTATTGTAAGACATTGTTATGACGGTATATTTAGAATAGTAAGTAAGGTTTTATGTTTATTTCCAATAAAATGTATCTTTATTTAATAAAGTTTATTTGAATATCTCTGAATTGTTAACTTTGTGAGCATTCATGGCCCGCTATTCAATTTCCATACCCAGATGTGGTCCTCAAGCCAAAAAGTTTGCCCACCCCTGCTCTAGAGCCTCTTCTACACCTGCTGTGTATTTTGAGATAGGATGACAGGGTGATAAAAATTGAACAAAGTATTTCAGTTGAAGATGTGTCACCAGTTTCTATATTTCCGAACACTGACTACTTTCCCCCCTTACTTAATAATTAATTTAGAACCCAGCAATGGGTACCATATGCATTACACTTTGCATTTGTCAACACTGAATTCCATAGCCCGTTGTATTGCCCGTTCACATAGTTGATTAGGTCCCCACAGCAGCCCCAGGGCAGCCTGCACCCCAAACCCATCAGCCCCACCCCAGAGCCTTCACCCCCCACACCCCAACCCTCTGCCCCAGCCCTGAGCCCTCTCCTGCACACCAAATCCCTCAGCCCCACCCCTGCCCACACCCCAATCCTGAGCACCCTCCCACACTCTAAATCCCTCAGCCCCACCCCGCCACACATCACCTCCATATTGGAGCACATAAAATTAATTACACACATGGATGTAAAAAATTAGAGGGACCATTGCTTACCTCAACTCTTTGTTTATGAGTTTTGGAGGCTTTCTTCAGTATTCTTTCCATTTGCTAAAATTTTAACACAGAAGCACACTGCTGTGATACTTTTATTTTTTACGTGTGAACACAACACATTGAGTCTGCATTTCACAACTTAGATTTGACCTTTGCCTTGAGGCAAGCTACAAAAATATCCTTTAGGCAAGTTTAAAGTAAAAGCAAGTTTCACGTAGGCCAAACACAGCCCAGCCTAACCCTAACCCTAACCCCCCTGCCCGACCCCCAGCACTGCTCAGAAGGAGCTGGCCCCATACCCTTTTCTCTTGCATCTTCTCATAGGCAAGCTGTGCAGGGGTCCGCTTGTCCAGAGCCCGCTTCTTCTCCTCCTCCTGCTTCTTACTGCTCACGATCTGCTCCAGGATTTTGCTTTTGTCCTTAGCCACCTTCTTCTTCTTCCTGGAGCAAAACAGACCGAGCAGCTTCAGAGGAGAGGCCAAGGAAGCCCCCCAACCACTGAACCATCCTCCCTTCCCACCAGCGGCCGGGGGCCCCACTGACCAACCCGGGAGCTCACCGCTTCCCAAGCGCCGGGGCCGCGCCGCTCCCCTTCAGCCGCAGCGGCGCGCGCTGCACACC